CTTCCCCCCCCCTCCTGTACCATGTGAAAGGATGCAGCAAAACCCATTTCATCATGCTCCATCCGCATCACAATCATCCTGGCTGCTTGACAGCTGCAAACCCAAGTCACTCTCTCCGATCACATGTTGAACTCCTGATATCACTCTCTCGGATTCTGCAAGCTCCTGATGCGTTCGAGCAAGTCCTCCCGGCTCTTCTTGTACGTTTTCTGTTCTCTTGTATGAAAGACTGTCGAATTCGACATCACTCCTTCCAAACTCTTGTTCCAAACCTGTCATCCATTCCATCTCCCCCTCATCCTCTCCCTTCCTCCTCTCCCTCACCTTCATGTAAGCATGCAGACAATCTGCGCAGCCGTAATCGTCTCCGAACTTCCACGTCTTCTGCCTGACAGGATTTTGCAGGTGGAGTTGCGAACCTTTGCGACGTGTTGGAAACTCGAGCAAGAACAAGCACATGAGACCTGGTTGACGGTGAACTATCAGGGAGAAAAGATTCTCAGCTTCTTCCAATCGATTCATTCGGATCAAGAATGAGATACGATGGAGGCGAAAGGGTCTGCAACGTGGGCGGGTGATCAAGGCGGGTCAAGGACTTCAGGCGTATCACTTCTGGTTTGCTCTCCAGATGCATCGGTGAGCAGCAGCATAACACCTTGACGCTTGTTCGAACTCTCCTTCTTCTTCCAGCATCTGCACACGCCGAGCCTTCAACAGAACAGAACGAAGTCCCCGCTTCACAAAGACAGACAACAGAGCAAACAACAAATGTCCACAACACATGTGACATGTCCACAACACAACAAATGTGACATGTTCGCAATCGAGCTTACAAGTGCCATCATTTCAAGGATTCGAGCAGCATCCGAGCAGTCATACGATGATCCTATCAACTTGTACAGCCCGCGATCAAAGATCTCCTGTCCCTGCGAGAAGTTCCCGATACGGAGGAGGAGGACCCCAAGGGAGAAGAGGAGGTCGGAAGAAACGCTGTCCTCCTTCAATGTCTTCAGTCCTTGTCTGCAGACATGATAAGATTGCACAACAGAAGGAGAGGAAGTAAAATCGACATGAGAAACCATGCGGCTCCTTCGAAGTCTCCCTGCGCCCATGTTACCTCCTCCCTCCCCTTCCTCCTCTCCCCTCCCATGCCTGGCTGCCTGCCTTCCCCCCTGCCTCCCTCCACCAACCCCCCTCCTCTTTAACCTGCATAGAGCAAGCGCTCGAGCCATGGAGGTAGTGCAGGACTTGTTGAGGCTCTTCTCTGATCTTCTGTGCGAACACGATGACTCCCTGCATGCGCATGCTCACTTCGCCGGCATCGAGACGACCTCGCTCTCACGTTCTCCACAAATGGCTTCGCCCGCCATGTTTTCGTGGCAGTCGCCAGGACCAACCCCATTAACGTTGTTGCCACGAGACAATGGCATCCCGTCATATGAGGAGGAGAGGAGGAGAGGAAGAAAGGAGGGGGCGGGAGGAAAAGGGAGAGAGAGAAAGTGAAGGAGGTCTCAGGAAAGTATCGCAGAATCAGGATGCATGGCTACAGTGAGTAGAAAAAACGGCAGGCCATGGCATAGTTATGGCGCAAGAGAACATGCACAAGGCAGAAAGAGGAGGAGGAGGAGGAGGAGGAGGAGGAGGAGGAGGAGGAGGAGGAGGAGG